CATTACAGCTAAAACAAGCACGTAAAATAAAATAATTAAAATCAGTTCATTCAGTTAAAACAAGCACGTAAAATAAAATAATTAAAATCAGTTAATCGGACAGGAAATAAAGAAAAAAAATGTTCCAGATATTACGAAACGTTGGAAACGTTAACTAATGAAGTATAATTTAAGTGAAACTGTTTCGCTTCAGCTCAAAAATTGGTGTTTTGGTCTTTTGATAGACCAGGGAGGGTCAGGTTCAAGATGACCTCTTCCTTCATGAAATTGTTATCATATAGAATTAATAAAATTAAATTTTACTTTGCGCATAAAAGCTTATATACTGCGCGTGCGCATGATTAATTAAACATTTCATCATTGGACAAATCTTAAAGCCTTTCAGGAGTTGGCAGAGCTGTAAAAGTGACCAAAATTTATCCTCGTTTATTAAAATATCATTCACTCTGCAGTGTTAGCTAGTAACCTATATCTTTCTTCTTATTGCTACAGCTAAATCTATGAAAGATTTTACTACCTCAACTTACACCATCAGTTTTACAGTGCCATTTAATGTGAGTAAGATAATTGAAAGTGATATTGATAAAGAACATTAAGATAGCCTATCTTATAGGTCACATTTACACTATCAGTTTTACAGATAATTGAAGATAATTGAAAGTGATATTGATAAAGAACATTAACATAGCCTATCTTATAGGGCATATTTACACCATCAGTTTTACAATCTAATATTGAAAGAGGTATAAGCATGATAACGCCATATAATTTCAAAATACTCATCTGCTAAATACTGATACATAAATTGTAGACATTATTTGAAGACAAAAATCTTTTGACCAATTGCAGTAACTTGTAGCACCATACAGAAAGAAAGACAGACAGAAGAAACGAAAAATGCATTTATTTTTAATTGCAACAACATAGGTTAGACACCCTTGTGTTAGCCTTTCTTATTTTCACTGTTATAATAACCTTTGACCTCAGTATTCCATGTTTCATAAGCTGTTCAAGAATGATATAATGTCGTCTTCTTGGCGTTAATGAAAAAATAACACCTTTAAGTAGTTAATGTTTAACTGATGTAACAAAAATAACACCTTTAAGTAGTTAATGTTTAACTGATGTAACAAAAATAACACCTTTAAGTAGTTAATGTTTAACTGATGTTACAAAAATAACACCTTTAAGTAGTTAATGTTTAACTAATGTAACAAAAATAACACCTTTAAGTAGTTAATGTTTAACTGATGTTAAAAAAATAACACCTTTAAGTAGTTAATGTTTAACTGATGTTACAAAAATAACACCTTTAAGTAGTTAACGTTTAACTGATGTTACAAAAATAACACCTTTAAATAGTTAATGATTTACTAACGTAACAAAAATAACACCTTTAAGTAGTTAATGTTTAACTAATGTAACAAAAATAACACCTTTAAATAGTTAATGATTTACTAACGTAACAAAAATAACACCTTTAAGTAGTTAATGTTTAACTGATGTAACAAAAATAACACCTTTAAGTATTTAATGTTTAACTAATGTAACAAAAATAACACCTTTAAATAGTTAATGTTTAACTGATGTAACAAAAATAACACCTTTAAGTAGTTAATGTTTAACTGATGTAACAAATAACACCTTTAAGTAGTTAATGTTTAACCGGTGTAACAAAAATAACATCTTTAAGTAGTTAATGTTTAACTGATGTAACAAAAATAACACCTTTAAGTAGTTAATGTTTAACTGATGTAACAAAAATAACACCTTTAAGTAGTTAATGTTTAACTAATGTAACAAAAATAACACCTTTAAATAGTTAATGTTTTACTACTGTAACAAAAATAACACGTTTAAATAGTTAATGTTTTACTACTGTAACAAAAATAACACCTTTAAGTAGTTAATGTTTAACTAATGTAACAAAAATAACACCTTTAAGTAGTTAATGTTTTACTACTGTAACAAAAATAACACCTTTAAGTAGTTAATGTTTAACTGATGTAACAAATATAACACCTTTAACTAGTCTATGTTTAACTGATGTAACAAAAATAACACGTTTAAATAGTTAATGTTTAACTAATGTAACAAAAATAACACCTTTAACTAGTCAATGTTTCACTAATATAACAAATATAACACCTTTAACTAGTCCATGTTTAACTGATGTAACAAAAATAACACGTTTAAATAGTTAATGTTTTACTACTGTAACAAAAATAACACCTTTAAATAGTTAATGTTTTACTAATGTAACAAATATAACACCTTTAACTAGTCAATGTTTCACTAATGCAACAAAAATAACACCTTTAAATAGTCAATGTTTCGCTAATGCAACAAATATAACTCATTTAACTACTCAATGTTTCACTAACGGAAAGAATAACACCTTTAACTACTCAATGTTTCACTAACGGAAAGAATAACACCTTTAAATAGTCCATGTCCTTTTGTTTGGTCGTTGATATTTTGTGGCTCTGATCCAATACCCGAAATGTCGAGACTCGTTAAATGTTTATTTGAAATGCGGAAAATCCCCCTCTGCTATTTCGATGTCTACACAGTCTTTACTTCAGCGGTTGCTTTTGTCGATATACTAGGAACGAAAAAGTTATCAAGTGCCTCTCTTGGCCATTTTTAGGCCTTCTCTGATTGCTTACCCTCTTTTCTCTGTCTGTAAACTCGAGGTTTGTGTCCCATTGCTGCTAAAAATTTACGCTCAGCACTTTGGCGCCGTAGGTAGGTAGTGACGGTCAAATCCACTATTCAATCAGTCCAAACGTTGGCGGGGGGTGCTGTTGACTAACTGCATGGTTATTTTTCTTTATTTATTTCTTATTTGTTTCAGCGCAAAGCCACATAATGGGGTATCTACATCGGGGGACTCGAACCCTGGATTTTTGCCTTGTGAGTCCGTAAAATACTGCTGACTATTTTTTTTTTACTAAAACCAAATAACTCAATACCTTTAATATGGCCGAAAAGTCCATTAGTTCTCGTTTCTCGAGACTCATGCAGCCTCAGAGATGCAGAAACGCTGACGACGATACTGTGCTGTATTAGTGTTGTTGTAATAGAATGTTCAGATAGCAGCTTTATGTCATTGAAATGGGTTTGGTTTTTATATTTTCCATTGTATGAAGTGCTCAGTGATTAGCTCATTGTCAATTCCTGTGAAGGTCACAAAGACTTGACTTAAGTTTTAGAAGTCCACTTATGAACGGAGTCTAGTAGTTAGCGTGCCGGACCGTGAATCCAATGATTAATGTTTCACATCTGATGCTACAGAATCAGGTTCTACAGTTCGGGACCATGGGTAGGGGCGGATTGGTACATTTGCATGTGACGCATTCTTAGAAATGGATTTTAAATTTTAAATGTTTAGCCAGTATGCAGCATGTTATATCACCCAGTCTGGTCCTTTAATGCCAATCTACCCCTGGCCATTGGTGCATTATAAAAGTGACGATCGAATCCCATTGTTCGATAACAGTAGGTGGGTGCTGTTGACTAGATGCATATCCTCTGGTAATCAGATCAAAATCATGGATGGCAGAGAGCTGTGTGTATATTTACACGAATATCCGAAACAAACAAGAATTCTTTATGTTTTATGAGCTGAACAAAGTTATTGAAACTATGCGTTCTTAGCTACCACGACTTTGTCAAAAAGAGCAGATGTAAAAAATCACTGGGCCATAATGTGGTACTGGCCCGGCAATCTGAGGGTCGCGGGGTCGAATCCCCTTCCCACCTAACATGCTCGCCCTTTCAGCAGTGGGGGCGTTATAAAGTGACGGTCAATCCCACTATTCGTTGGTAAAAGAGTAGTCCAAGAGTTGGCGGTGGGTGGTGATGACTAGCTGCTTTCCCTCTAGTCTTACACTGCTAAATTAGGGACGGCTAGCGCAGATAGCCCTCGTGTAGCTTTGCGCGAAATTCAAAAACAAACAAACAAACATAATGTGGTGTTATATGATTACCAAGCTTTCATTTTACGGAAGTCAATTTATGTTTTCATTTTTACATTTTCAATGTCTACTACTATAATGTTCTATCTCAAAAAAACAAAGAAAGAAAGATACGCAGTATAAAATGTACTGTCAGGTTTTTCAACAAATTTATCTGGTATTCAATTTAACTTATCTTTCTTATCATTTTATATAAAATCCTTCTTAAACCGTAAAATATAGTCAAATTTGAAGAATATAAGTGATTCCTTTCGGGTGAAAATACAGTCGGAAGGTAAACTAATATGGAAACAATGGTTTTTACTTCCTTCTGAATGACCCGATAGATCAGCGGTAAGCGTGAGGGCTTATGACCATAAAAAACGGGGTTTGATATCTGCACATCACAGATAGTCAGTTGTGTACCATGTGCTAAAAACATTTTTTTCTGAAAAACAAAATAGATTGAATGCCAGTCTATTCCAGACTATGTCGTGTTAGGGGGTCATATACAAATTAATTAGTTAATTTAGAAGTGAATGAAACTGACATTTCCTATACTATCTAGGGACTTGTTGCTGTGTGTTTACCCTTCTTCGAGTCAAAGACCTGTTCCAAGAAAGAGCTAAGATTTCTTTGCCCTGTGTAAAGTATTTTGGGAACTGCGCCAGACGTCAAGATTCCAGGAAAATTGAGTCTTGACATTTCCACATTTTTGTAAATTCTTTCTCTCACATCACTATGGTAACAACAAGGACATTTAAATTTTTGACTTTTATAAACTTGCACTTTTCTTTAGGTCTTAATATTTGACTTCAAACTCTTATGCATAAAAATGTAATTGTTTTTATGTCTGTAGATGAGTAAAATGTATATTTCTTTTTCTAATATCACTTTTTGGTAAGCATATCGAATATGATTACGAAAAACTATTTGTATTTATATGATCTGAAGGGCTTGTTTATTTTAGAAATTTCGCGCATAATCATACATTATTTTGAACTGATAGATTCGAACGAAAGGCAGGCAATCAACAACAACCACCCCCAACTCTTGGACTCTCTTAGTGGAACTTAATCCCCACTCTTGTTGGACTCTCTTGTCTGGCAGTTAATGGAATTTAATCCCCACTCTTAGAGCTCGCTCTTGGACTCTTTTGTCTGGCAGTTAATGGAACTTAATCCCCACTCTTAGAGCTCACTCTTCGACTCTCTTGTCTGGCAGTTAATGGAACTTAATCCCCACTCTTAGAGCTCACTCTTCGACTCTCTCTTGTCTGGCAATTAGTGGAACTTAATACCCACTCTTAGAGCTCACTCTTGGACTCTTTTGTCTGGCAGTTAATGGAACTTAATCCCCACTCTTAGAGCACACTCTTCGACTCTCTTGTCTGGCAGTTAATGGAACTTAATCCCCACTCTTAGAGCTCACTCTTGGACTCTCTTGTCTGGCAGTTAATGGAAATTAATCCCCACTCTTAGAGCTCACTCTTGGACTCTCTTGTCTGGCAGTTAGTGGAACTATACTATAATTTTCTAGTATTGTTACTGGTGACTATATCCATAGGAATGTATTTATTCAACCATCGCTACTAATTTTCTAGTATTGTTACTGGTGACTATATCCGTAGGAAAGTATTCATTCAAACATCCCAGTAACAATACTAGAAAATTAGTAGCCCTACGGATATAGTCAAAAGTATTTATTCAAATATCGCTACTGATTTTCAAGTATTGTTACTGGTGATTATGCTAATCACAAGAATGAAACAATAATATCACATGGGTTGCTAGGCGACATAAAGTTACCTTATAGTTTATCAGTTTGTAGCGTGTAGACATGCTAGGTTTCTTTATCTTCTCCACTTAGTGATGAGAATATTGTTGTTGCAAAAGAAATACCGATTGTTCATTAAAAAGTGTGTTATTACCTTATAGAGTCAGTTTTTCTGTATTCACTTACATAGGTACTAACTTACTGTATTATTTTATTGTTTAAGTCTGAATTACTATAGGCCTACTAGTATGTAACTATTCAACAAAATAACAGAAAAAACCCTCACAGAATGATAATAATAAAAACCCTTTAACCAAGTTAACTTTTCATGTTATTCTTCAACACAGTAACTCATATGTTTAAGATACACGACGACCGTTATTTTCTTACCCTTCCATACATGTTCTGGTATTTTTGTTTCATTTCCTGGCGTTGTTGGTTTGAGTGATTTGTCAGTTGGTCAATGATTACCCGGGCGTCTGTACCTATGAGAAAATGGCCGCAATTATTGTTTATAACGATAATAACCCATTAAAGCTTCTACAAAAAAAAAACGTTAACAATACAAAACGTTATGTTGTTACAAATACTAATATCCTAAAATTAATTATTAAAACTAACTATTTTAGAAATTATATTTTCTGAATTAAATACTTTTTTGTGGAGACATTTTACAATAAATACAATATTATTAATAGCACAAGTTCTAGTATGTTGGGATTTGATTAACCGCTACAAATTCACGATCTTTTTTGTTGATGTTTGGTTTTATTTTTTTATTGTTAATCTGTTTTCTTGTCTTTTTCCGATATTTGGCGATATAGATTTTTTCGTTTAAAACAAATCAACAAGCCCAAGTCTAAACGCTATAGCTATAATTAACAGCTGAATAAAGTTTTTATAGATTGCGGCATTTCATTTTTTTTTTTTTTTTAATTACTATCGGCAGTATTTCTCACCCTAACTTGCTCTGAAGCCTAACGTATCAAAGACAAACTCTGAAAAACTGCCTGATACATCCCAAAAGTTAAAACCTCATCAACATTGAATTATAAATCGAGTTACTTCTATCTCACCCGTTCATATATACATACAAAATACTCTCTCTCTTCATAAAGAAAAAATAACATAACTTGTCTTCGCCCACTTAAGAAAATTGTGTACAACTTATTTCCCCTCTTCTGAAGAAAAACAAAATAATGTGATTTTAAGGAGTTGAAGATAAGTAGAAAGATGATTATAATTTCTTGTTCATTATGATATTTAATTATAAATACCAACAAACAAGAATGAAGTAAAATAATATTGGAATTAGCAGGATAACAGTGAATTGTATACAGAATAGAAATAGCAGGATAACAGTGAATTGTACACAGAATAGAAATAGCAGGATAACAGTGAATTGTACACAGAATA